CAATAGAAACAGCTTTTTCAGCAAAAATTAGTGTGGAAATCCACAAGTTCTACCAATAATTTCTCTCAGTACACTTTTGGATGAAATTAAAGAGAAACAAAAGTGTTCAAACCCTACCAGTGCTTTTGTATGTTGCTGAGATCTTGCAAAACCTTTGCATGTCTTACTTCTGCAAAGCAAATTTGAGGCAATTGAAATTAAACATTAAGTATTTGGCTTAACAGTGGTGCACTGAGGTCAATATCATATCAAAAATTAAATTTGGTCACCAAGATGGAATGTGGACAGCACAGAACCTTACTTATTACAAATATTAACCTTAGAATAAACTTTTATTTTGTGTCAAACCATGGTAAGTGTTTCTTTCCCCTTGTTACTGGGCTTCATTAGCATTTTCCTTACAATAAAAAACTAAAAATGCAACTGTGGATAATTTTAAAAAAAGATACATGTAGGATAACATGAGGAAAAAAAAACATTCACAAAGCATCAAGGTTAAAGGCAAGTTTAAAGGCAAGCAGGTTGGAATAATGTATATGTGGTTCAATTTTATCCTTGGTTTAAATTTTATTTTCCTCTGTTTCAAACTCATTATGATACATTACCATATCTAAAAACAAATGTAAATAAAATTTAAATCAAAGATAAAGATGAACCACAAAATATAATTTAAGGTCTCTTCCTTGGGCCAAAACAACAAGAAACTCAATGAAAAAGTATATGCATTTTGAGAACAATTACAACAAAAATCAAAAGAAGAAAACAGCAAGAGTTATTACCATGAGGAGGTAATTATAAAAAAGGAAACATGCCATAAAAGAAGACTTACATAGAGCAAGAGAGAAAAGAGCATACATGTAGGTTGTTTAGCAGTCAAACAAACAGAAGTTAGCTTCTGCAATCATTTACTGTAGAAAGAGGAATACATGACAAATAACAAGACTCAAAATAAGGTTGCAGAGCCAGGAAAGAAAGTCGAAGAATTAAAAACCAAATTGTGTTTATGTAATTTGGTTCAGGAACCTTCAAAGAATGTAGTTGACCAAAGTATGTATATTCACAACCCACGCACAGAGTTCAACTTCCAGAATAACTAATAAAGGAACAACAAACTCAGCCTAATAAAATAATGAGAACTGAACCCTAACCAACTATTGTTTTAACATTTTTTGGAAAGGAGGATTCTGAAGCCAGCCATTAACCCATTCGCCCCTGAGCTGCCTGTAACCGCCCATAGGGATCCATGTCCTTTCTACCGCTTGTGACATCATCAGTTTTAATAGTCAAGGACAACTTTGTCCGCTAACTATTGCAGATTTATGAGATCTTTCAAACCATATCAGAATGGGCACAATTAAGTAAAGGACACCGGAGAAAAAGGTAAAAAACCATGTAACATTGACTTGAAAATTTCCATGAAAATTTTGTTCCACTACCCACATACCTTTTCTTTCATCTTATCCTAAGATCCTACAAGCTTTCCTAAAAACTTTTCCCACCAAAATGAAGCCTACTAAATTCCCAGCAAGAGAAAAAACAATGAGGAAAGAAAAGCAAAAAAAAGAGGAGAAAAGTAAAAATCTCAAAATTTTGCTTTTTGCGCATGCCCGAACTTCGCAACCTAATGTTTTGCATCTGGATCAGAAGGCCGTGAAGTGTACAAACTGTAAACGGTTTTGTGGTAAGATTTAGTTCTTAATAATATGATAGTGTCCAAAGCATGGTTTTTGGCAAAATCTCCTGGGGTGAATGGGCTAATGCAAATTAGAATATGTACTATGTATATAACATACACGTGTAAAATAAAATGTCAAGGAAAAACGGATGAAGAAAAGACAACAGTTGAAATTGTGAAAAACATGCAGAAAACATGAAGGATATTTTGTCAGACAAGACAAGTTGACTAGCAACCAGAACTAACATGTAGCTGTAGGCATTTATGCTCTGCATGCCTTTTTCTAACAACTAAAGAAAAAATCAAGTTAAAATATTTCATAACAGTAGAAAAAAAATCATCATCAATAACAACAACAACAAATTCTTTGTGATGTACCTGCTTGATGAACTCTTTCACTTATCCTGGCCTCAATTCTACCTTGGTAAGCACAATGCCATCTGAGTTCATTGATGTCAATGGCACATGCCTCATGTTCTGTCAAATCAATGAACAGAGTGAAAGAGTTGTTACACAGTACAATCCACTAATCACATGATGGTACAAGTAACAAAATTATATCAGTGCTCAATATTGAGTACCATTGCTGACACTAATCTGCTTTAACATTGTACAGTGGTAGTGGGAATTATTTTAAGCCACAATTGTTTCTTATAATAAAACATAAAAAAAACCCACTCAATTTACAAGTGACACATGATAATAGTCACTGAAATAAAGAGAAACACTTATCATTTTTCAAACCAATGGTTGCTTCTTTACCATGGTCATATACTGTAATTTAGACTAAGGAATAGTTGCTTATTGCAAATGTGCCCGTACTGGTTCTAGTTACTACAAGACTACATAGTTTCTGAGTTGAAACTTCTTGAAAGAGGAACTTTTTTAGACCTACCTTTTTGCACAGCCAATGGAAGATCATACATTCTCTTGTATGCTAGTGTGTCAATCTCATTTCGTAAAAAGAGCACTCTTTCTCTCTCTTTTATCAAAGCTTCTTGGGTAGCAATCCTGTCACATTCCATCCTTCCAAGTAATGTTATGACCTCCTCTATGATATCATAACCCTTTGGAAGAGCCTCAGTGGCTTTTACAGTCTTGGGAGTTGAAACTTTACTTACAATAGTTCCAGCACTTTTGCCTCGAACCTACATCAGCAAATAATAAAATCATTTTTTTTGAAGTGAATACACTACAGTGTTACCCTGAATTTCAGATGATTACTTCGAGTCGTTTTTACTTCCTCAGTAATGTCTGAATCAACTGGATGTTAATGTTGTCCAGTGACATCACTGCCCGAAAACTGGGTAGTGATTTTGATTTGTTGATTGTCCAAGGTAGGCATTTGCATAATTATGTATGTTGATCATCACGCACAGCATGGAGCCCGGATCTGATTAAATGGATCAATTTACATTGTCGTGAAAATGGCTCAGCAAACTTTGCAAAATCTGCCATAAATTTTCCGTACAAATGGACTTTTCCATATAATTACATGTACACGACACAATTTCTCTCAGTCCTCCACAGAATAAAGTGGCAATCTGCTGCAGGAGAGCACCCAAATTTCAATATCAATATTCACAATTTTTGCAGCAAAAGTTTCGCAGGAATTATTTCCTGCACACAAATATATTGTGATCTATATGGTCAAAAATTTTGAGTTTTTAGACTGAAAATTTTGCTGCGTGATAAAGCACACTTACGCATAATCCACCATGTATCTTTAAAAATCTAAATATTGACCAAATCGTCTCTTCACGCTATCTTGTATGCACCCCTTCACTGACATGAGAAATTTTAGTGGGACCATTGTCTGATATTCAGCGGATCGCATGCCTGGCATGCTAGCATGGAGTTAAAACATTTTGACAATCTTTATCATAAACAGCAAAATTGCCCTTGTCTTCAAAACTATGAATTGTTAAATTGAACCACAAATTAATGAAGAATCATTGTGGAGGGTTGGTACAATAGGACATTTCTCTTAATTTAAAGCCGCTTTGTGGCAGTGATCCTCAGCCTGGTCTTGATATGTTTTAGGGCACTGCAACCTCTTTCTGGCCATGCATTGGACACTGGCATTGACAAGCAAACTTCAGCAATGTTACAAACAGTGCAAAAGTTTGCAGCCCGGATAGTTTCTGGAACGAGGAAGTTTGATCATGTTACACCTATTCTTAAGCAGTTACAGTGGCTGCCAATTATTAAACAACTTGCGGTTAGGGATGCCACCATGGTATTTAAATGTTGAAATGGACTTGCACCTCCATATCTTTGTCAGAAGTTTAAAACCAGATCGGAATAGTCTCCCAGACGATTTTCAGTCCATCACTAATTTAGATGTATTTAAAGTAAAAATAAAACAGCATTTTTTAGGGTATTTTTGGAAAACTAAGTTTTCGATATTTGACATTGTGAATTAAGCAGAAAGGCCTTTTTGAGGAGATTAATAAAGTTATTATTATTATTATGTCGCAGTATGAAACTTTGGAATGCTGTCCACATTATGAGTAGTATAGGGCGCATAGCATAACCTACACCACTTGAGAAGCTATACTTAGAAGTAAAAAAAGGTCGATACGAAACCTAATACGATCCTAAAATACATGATGATATGAATCTCTCTACTTAACAAGCCAATTTAGAATATTATTAAATTCCGATACTCTTATTATTATTATTATTATTATTATTATTATTATTATTATTATTATTATTATTATTATTATTATTATTATTCATGTTTGCAAGGGCAGGGAACACAGTGCTGTAGGCGGCTTTGAGGGAGACCATTTTAGGCATAACTCCATGGCTGTCTCTAGGTGGCTTTCGTTCATCCCTTCTGGAATTTCCTGCTTCCAAGAATCCTTGTCAAATTTAAACTTTTCCCACTCTGTCAGCAGTTGCTGTTTCTTTTTTTTTTTTGCATGGTACTTCCTGTACAGCTTTTTATTTTTTTCCTTCTTCCATAAAATCAGAAGAAAACAAGAGAATGATCACTAAAATAAGCATCAGACATTTTACCAAAAAAAGATATTTCTTTGGATGACAAATCTCAATATTACAAAATTTCTGGTGCACTTGTAAAGTAGACAACCCTGCAGCTATAGAAGAGTTTAACAACAAAGGTGCATTGTAAATATTACATGTATTTGAATGTTAGAATAGATAATGTTAAGATAAATTTATCATATTTAATATGGATGCTAACCTCTAATGTTGCCCCACTGGCAGAAGACTCCACTCTAACTGAATCAGCTTCTTCTTCAATGTTACCAAGAGATGCAGAACTTAGAAGCCACCGAATTCGTCTTCCATGGCTGCTAGCTGAGGACAATTGGCTTGACTCTTCAGTAACGCCTTGACTTTCTAGAATCTGCTCAACTTGTCTTGTACTCTTACCCTCTAAATCAATAGGCAAACACACCATCAGTGCTGATACATGCACAGCTGTACTTCTCTCAGTTTTAGATTTTTTCTTACAGTCTTTTGCTAGCAAGAATTCTTTAAGACCCTTACAATATTTAACCAGCACATATACACTTATTTTGGAGCCTGCACCACAGATGAAACTAAACTCTGGTCATTATCCTTGTTCTTGTTCAAACCAGTGTACCAAGATTTGACTAAGTGCCATGACTGGCCTGTTAAAAAAGCCATCGCTGATTTGCTAATCATGATGAAAAGAAATTAAAAATGTATTTCAAATTATTCATTGAGTCAATTGGGGGCCCCAGAACAAGTATATTGGCGCTGCTTTGCAGTCGTTACTGACCAGCATTAAATTATGTTTGCGACACAGGCTAAGTATCTTGGGGTTCAAGCCAATATCAAAGGAAAATAAAAAATAAATTAATATAAACATCAATGAAATACAAAATGAGCTTCTGAGTGAAAACATGATATCATCCACATGTGAATTATAACATGTTATCTTCCGCGAAAAGATCACTGTTGCTATGTCTACATAATAAATAGCGCCTTTCCCAGCAAAAGAATATTTAAAAACTTTGTTTGCCTAAAAAAGAAAGATCATAAAAAAGGATGAAGGATTACTAGTAATATTTATCCATGGTTCAAATTCCACCCGCACCATTTGTCAAAACAATTCTATGGGGTGTCATCCAACCATTTTAATCTTGCTATTTTGTTATAACTGAGGCAACATATAATTTAATTATAAGTGTTACAGCACCTGATACTGCACTGAATCTTTGCTTGCTTAATCTTTCATCCTCATCAAAGTGTTCGGTCTTGTAAAATAAATCAACCAGGTCCTGCAACTGATGCAGATGAGAAACTGCCTTTCGTACACATGAAGAAGAGCTCTTGACAAGCTCACAGCTTCTACGGCGCCACAATCTGCTTTTAAACTGTGGCCATCCTTCAGGAAGGGAAGGAACTATGTCTAGAAGAGAACAATAATATTTTTCCTTCCTTATTATTGAACACCACTGACAACCACATCATAAAGTCTATTTTTTCTCGGGAGGGGGCAGAAGGGGTGCTTGCTCGCAGGGTAGATATCATTATTATCATCATTATTATTATTACTATTAATTTTGTTATTAACATTTTCCGTTCTAGGTACAATGAATCTTGTTTACTGACATCAACCGCATTGTATGACTACCTTTTTCGTCTTGGTCAAAGCTGTGCTCATTTTTACCCCCAACAGTTGATACGATGGGAAGAATTTCTCTTCCACTGTCTTGTGAAGGCAAACTTCTTCCATCCAAGGACGGTAAAATCGCCAAACCTGATCCACCACTTGCCTCTGATCTAGAGTCATCAAAAAATGGAACATCCAACTTTGCTAGGTGAATTTTACTCTCCGAATGACGAGTGACAATTCCATCTTTTATAGTATTTCCTTGCTCGCTTGCAGCCAATCTTCCCTTCAGATCATTTTCGCTAAATGCCGAACGTTCTGAGAGTGATTTTTTGGCTTTTGCTGCACTGCGGTTGACAGTTTGACTTTCCTGAGTTGGGAATGTTATCCCATCACTAATTCCAGCTTTCTTGCTTTCCACGCTGTATTTCCCTGTATTATCTACAGTTGGCATTATTACTCTTCAATGCTTCCTTCAATAATCTCACAAAAGACGAGTTTGTCAAAGTAACTGCTACCTCTTATTGCCGCCATTTTGGAATGATAATTGCTAGGCGACGAAAAGACGATACATCAACCGCTAGGACGAGGCAGCTGTGACGTCATGTCCACATTTCCATATTTTCGTGCCTTTCTTCAAACATGGGGGGACAGCACTCTCAGTTCACAGAAGAAGAACTCAAAGATTATCAGGTAAAGACGCTATCTTTATAGTTTATTCGATATGATTTCTTCTTATTCTTCATTGTACTTTTTTGAAGTATTTGAAGAAGGTGTTAGGGTTGGTAGTAACAGTAGTGTTTACCTCGTTGCAGGAACTGACGTATTTCACACAGAAGGAAATCTTACAGTGAGTGTATCTTCTCCCCTAATACCGTAATTTTTGCTCCATTGGCAGTGAAGCCCTAACTGTTAACCGTATAATTAACTAAGATGGCTTAGCTGAATTGCTGAATCAAGTAGTACTGAACCACCAACCGCAATGCTCTTGTGTATAACGGCCCTGTATTTATACTTAGGCTTTTATTACAGCAGTCTATACGGTCACCGAAATTGTGAAAAGTTGACCTGTATGTTACGGTCACCCGTGTAGATATATATAAGTGAGCCGTGATGTTTTTATTGTCATTAAAATGATAAAAGCTTTACAATATTAAAAGAAATATCCTCAATAAGCACGGTTTACGAAAAAACTATATACAGTATGACCGGTATGTTGCCCAGTATGCGTACACTTAAGTTTAACATGTACATTACAATGACTTTACTTTGTTAGTCGCAAGAGCTCTGAAATTTGGCCCAGAGAAAATTTACTTACTCCTCAATATGACAAAAGACAGTTTAACTTTTTTGCTTTTGTTTCCATTGCGAAATAAATATTTTTGCAGAGCTCCTGTATTGCCCAGTATCCGGACACAACAATAACAACGTTATTGTACATGAATTTCGACAGGCAAGCGACTTATAAGCTTCTCTTGCACTTGCTAAGTAGTCTGGCAATCGATTTCAAACATACAACCTGGCATCGTGAAATAAAACATAACAGATGACTGGGGTATGGTGGAGAATGCAAGCGGCTGTTAAATGGTATATTATTATTACTCCCTTGTCTAGGAACTTTTTCACTGATTTAAGGAAGGCCTCCATGGACATACCAAAGCCGCCATTTGCAAGCTCAATTAGCCAATCTGCAAATGACTTTTTTTCTTCATTCCTCAATCCGATGGTCAAAGGTCACCATCCTATTTAGTCTTACCTGCAGTGTTGATTTCTTCATGCTCAGTCCCCACAGTAAGCCTGCTTTTCTAGCTCTAATTCCTCCTTTTTTCACATCTCTTAATTCCTTTGTGACATTTTTCAGACCGTTGCAACCCCCCATTCTAGCAGTCACAACTGGGGAAAGTATGAAATTTCCAGGTTCAACTCTGACGCTTTTGGTTATATACAGAAAATGCTGCATGCAGTCACGCTAAACAAGCCGTGCACACGAAATCAAGTCGCCTCTGAATGAGTGAAGAAAATTTCCATACATTTACATTTTACGACTATATCATATATCCCAAGCGTTAATTATAGTTATAGATATGAAATAAATCTTATCCGCATAATGTACACAGCTAATTCGATTCTGTACAGCAAGGACAAAACTGTGTTGTGTGATACTGGACACCTGATATCAATACTTAGTGAATGTTTCTGGCCTCCATTATTCCAAACAAATCAAATTTTAAGAAGAATTAATAAACTTTCTGAGAACCTGACTTCTTTAAGTATCTTCACTTTAAATATACAACAGTTTTCTTGAAAATATCACATATTACCTACCCTATTCTGAGCAGCACTAATTTTAATGTGCAGTAAACAGTGTAAATATTAGCCATGAAAAGTTTACTCACCTAAACAGAACGTCGTCTTCTGGGACTGTTTCGCAAGCTTTAAACTTGCCAAAACTTTCATCTTAGAGCTGAAATGTTCAGCTTTCATTTGAAATACGTTGTTTACCGAGAACTAAAAAGGGCGCCTCAAAAATTGAGTTTTTGTTTTAAGCGTCTAGATACTGGTACTGTCCGGATACTGGAAAACATACTGTAACCAACTAATAAAAATACTGTCCTTTAAAACTGCATGTACTTTAAAAATCATACTAAAACTGAATTGCTGAATCAAGTCGTACAGGCATATTTTACAGATGCAGTCACCCTTTAGACTAACGGAATTCAATGTCATTATTTTACTGGTAAATAACGGTCACCAAATTCGGCCGGGCATGAACAATCTATGAAATCGATGATCGGAAAATCAATGGATCAAATTATTGATATAACAATCGATTAATTTCTGTTAATTGATATCGATTGGCATCGGCCAGTTAATGACCAATAGATAATCACACAAAAGTAGTCACGAATTTCTTCTATTGCCATGCGATTGGCATACAAACTAAATCTTCAGTTATGCAAGTGTCAGTCACGTGGAACATGTAGGAGAATAAACACGCTTCTTTCAGCAGATGTTTACGCAATCATTGCTGGTTGTGAAGCTGCTCGGTAAGTGACCGGCTCTAGTTACGACCACGTAGCTTTGTGAAACCTGCTTTGTTCTGTGACTTAAACTTTGTGACGGAAAGCTCTAGTAAGCAACCGCTCCTCTTAGCAGCTGCGATCACTTTTGGGATTGCCCAACTGGGCTTTTCCTTCCTTTTTTAAGCTCTTGTAATCAACCACTCAGAATCTTAATTATTCAATTCAACATATTAAAGAAACTGCACACTATGGTAACGGTCTAAAAACTGGATGTAAAGTTTAGCCGTGTCTATATCAGATATGAAGACACTGATATAATATAAGCATTAATTTATTTTGACAAATAAAGAAAGATGGTAAATGGTGATGTGATCAACATGTCACAAGCACAGGACAAAGAAAAAGTCTGAGTCCCTGACAGAAATTGAACCTATTGTAATGGTGTGACTGCATGCGTGACATGCCTAGTGACGCTAATAGTATGCATATTAGGTGTTGTTATTTTAGGACGTGCTAGGTTGTATCAGAACATAGGAAGTAACGGACGTGTGGAGTAGCTTTACGAATTGATTGTGAAACATATATGATGTAAACTCTACGTTAAATTGGCGACGAGGATGCTCCAAGTTCGAATTGAGAACGACTAAGGAGGTACGGCATTATGTAAACTATGTTGTAACGTGCAGCACGCCCAAAGCTGTCACCAGAGACCAGGTAAAGGACGCCACTGAGGAAGATCCAGCACTTCAAGCACTAAAGAAGTACATCAACCAAGGCTGGATAGACACAAATGATACAAGGACACACGAATTTCGGCAAGTTTTCCATGAACTAACAATAGTAGACGGGATTGTCTTGAGAGGGGATCGGATCATTGTGCCCGCAAAACTCAGACATAGAATGGTGGAAATTGCGCACGAGGGTCATCATGGCCAGGTGCGAACAAAACAGCTTTTGAGAGCACATGTATGGTTCCCCGGAATGGACTCACAATGTGACAAGTTCGTATCCACTTGCATCGCCTGCCAATCTAACACGCCGCAAACCCATCGCGAGCCACTTCGGATGACAGACCTACCGGAAGGACCGTGGGAGAAGGTGAGCGTGGATTTTTGCGGACCAATGGCAAGTGGTGACCTCGCCCTCGTATTCTACTGTCAATATTCCAGATACCCAGTGGTTGAATTCGTGGGGTCCACGAGCGAGAAAGCAACAATACTGACATTCAAGAGGGTGTTCGACACATATGGTGTGCCAAAAGAAATCAAATCAACCATAAATTCGAAGAATACGCAAAAGAGGAGGGGTTTAAGCACCGAAAAGTGACACCCGGATGGGCAGAAGCCAACGGTGATGTAGAAAGGTTTATGTAGAGAATAAAGAAGACCGTTCGGATCGCCTCTTTGGAAGGCAAACCCGTGAGGGATGAAGTGAACCGGGGAATCAGGGCATACAGAGCAACTGGGCATGCGACAACTGGAGTCAGCCTGAACAAGCTCATGTTCGGAAGGGAATTGCGTGGAAAGTTCCCTGAAGTCAAGGGACAGCCTAAATATAGGGATGACATGATGATTCGCTGTCGGGACTGTGAACGAAAACAGAAGATGAAGCAATATGCTGATAAAAGAAGACACACAGCTGTGATGAAAATTGAAGTCGGGGACACAGTGTTGTGCAAGTAGGAATGTAAAAACAGCCTGACACCTCTGTATGACCCGAAGCCTTTGGTAGTCATTGGTGTCAAGGGAAGCATGGTCACTGCCAAGAACAGTGTGAGAATTCGCACCAGGAATTATGCCGATTGGAAATTGCTCAAAAGTGGTTGTAAGAAATCACCGCGGGGTGATGATTCTGACAGCGACGATGCATTTGAACCGGATGAAGTTATAATTGAAGGTCCAGAGCAATCCTTAGCAGGGCCAAGTGGAGATGCATTGCCAGCGGACAGATCCAGTGAATCAAGGCAACGTCATGAGCAGCCAAGAGCAAACAGCGACACAGCCGAGTACGAGAGTGGGCAGAGATCTCGGCAGCCCGGATCAGACCGTAACACAGAGCGAAGACATGCGCCCTTGGACAGGCCCAGGAGGAAAACAAGATCCACAAAGGACACTAAATATAAGGACTTTATTTGCGAATAGCGAGCATTTGCTTGTCTAATACATTAGAGCCTGTAAAGGACACAAGGGCTTACTTGTTATTAGCAACATTTAATTTATTTTGTTTATTTATTTATTTTTGTTTGTTGTTTTCGTTCGCACCGTTGCGTCCCATCCACGAGATGGGGGGAGAGATGTAATGTCGTGACCGCATGCGTGACACGCCTAGTGAAGCTAATAGTATGCATATTAGGTGTTGTTATTTTAGGACGTGCTAGGTTGTATCAGAACGTAGGAAGTAACGGACGCGTGGAGTAGCTTTACGAATTGATTGTGAAACATATACGATGCAAGCTCGACATTAAACCTATGACCTTCTGTACACTGGTCAGATACTCTAACTATTGAGCTATGAAGGACTCGTGGTGAGCTGCACCATATACAAGGTTCATGTATTGCATGCGTCCTGGATGCTTACTGCTAGGATTAGCAATGTTGAAATCATCATGTATGTGATAAAGAAAAATGGTAAATGTTAAGCGAAGAAATGAGAAGTGATGTGATATAAACATGTTATGAGCACGGCACAAAGAAAAATGAGTTTCTTTAGCAAAGGACTGGAACAAGTTACGTAATGAATTTACGGGCTGATGGCCTAACTTTACTAGGACCATTTAAAAGAAAGACATTTAAGTATTTGCAAGAACAAGACAAAACACAGCAAAAAATTAATGTAGATTGTAGCTTAATTCCTTTTATTTTTTTCTACACCTTTTTTATTGTAATCATTAGTCTTGAACATAGGATAAGAGCGCTATAGAAATAAATAAAGTTATTATTATTCCGCTATTTTACTATGTATGGTGTACTATTGTTTTTTTTTAATCTTGAAATATTTTATTACTGGACATAGGTTTATACCAGCTGTTTTTTTATACTCATCTGACCTGTTTTTTGCAGTTTAAATAAAGTATTTATTATTTTTAAGCTCTCGTAAGCAACCACCCTCTGTTGTTTGCGATCGCTTGCAAGAGCTCATTCTTGTAAGCGACCAGCTCTAGCAACCACTTTTTCGAAATTCCTGAGGTGGTCGCTTGCAAGAGCTTTGACTGTAACTATTTTTAGAGAATCATGACAATCATTCAACAGATCATTAAATTGTAGCAGCATGTACCAGGGTAACTGGGTTTCACTTAAATACAAATATTATACTAAATACAACCACAACAGACAAATTTGTTTCATCCTCTTAAAAATCCAGGAAATACTAGACCTGGGACAAGCCACAAACAAAAGTCATGTATCTCATCCGTAGGGGGTCAGATAAAAAAATAATGCAATGATCATTGGAGAGACCCTGTTAGGGGATAATTTTGACAAGTGACCTGAAACAGTGATGAAGTTCAGATGACATGGCAATGCCGTGACAAATAACACAAAGATGAGTTGTAGTTAGGAGAGCTATAAACGGTCAGGTTGCCAGCTACTGTCATTGGAATAGCACCCCCTTTCTGTTATCATTTGATACATTTGGTCAAAAACCTTGTATCTAGTGTTGCTGTTTGTTGTAGTAATTCCGTGATAACCTTTTTATTTTTTTGTAGTTGTCATAAAAGGTTTTCGCAGCTTGACCCTGAGGCTGTGAGGGCCAACAAGAATGCAAAACTTCCTTCAAGGAAGATCATGACCTTGCCAGAACTAAGGGTATGTACATTTGTTTGAATGCACAAATTATGATAAAGTGGGTCAGATGTTCATTCTTGTTACTCAGAGCCTTTTTATCTTTTTACTTGTTATCCAATCATTTTGTTAATAATAATAATAAAATATTTATTAATATGTATTGCACAAATATCAATCTAGACGAAATTTTCATTTATGCTTACGTAAATCCTACTTACAAACCCTACTATAAAAAAAATCAATGTTTATAAAAATTAAAATACATTCCTAGTACATATCCTACGTCTAGAAATTCTTAAAATATTGACTAATTATTCCTTAAAATCCTATTTACAAATTCTAGTTAGTTATTTTTTATTAAATGATAACAGAAATAAATGGCTAGGAAATGCCTTCTTAAATAAATGTGTTTTTAGCACCTTTTTTACCTGTTACTGAAGATAAATTTTCTAATAAAAAGGGGAAGAAAGTTGTTTAGAACAAACGCCACTCAACTGGCTTGAGAGTTACCAGCACTGTACAAACATCTTGTTGACAGACTCAAGTAAAACTGACAACTGTACATTGTAGATCAATGGATAACTGATATTATAACTAATAACAGATGATAACATCCTGGCTAAACTGACAAATGGTGACTTATTTGACCAATCAGGTCAATAACCAGAGAGTTGAAAACCATCTACTGATGGGATACAACTCACTTTGACTCTGAAGACTACCCCTCTGGTTGTCAAAATGTCAGTCATTGTCAACAACAGACCTCTTCAGGACTACACTCACCTGGACAATCATAACCCAACCTCTCATGAACTGACTCCTAGGTTCTAACCTAACGCAAACAGGATATTCCTAAAAATATCTAATAATTAATGTTATAGGATTGAATGATTGATCAATCTTTGGGGGTGCTGTAAATTATTTTGCATCCTTGCATCCAGGTTGGGAATTTTTATCCTTCAGGACCAAAGGACCCAGGGATAACAATATTACTAATTATCATGTGTGTATTTGAAGTCTGACATCAATGTCTCTTTTTCAGGTAAATCCTTTTAAAGACAGGATTTGCAAGGTGTTTTCATCATCCAAAGATGGAGAACTCACCTTTGAAGACTTCTTGGATATGATGTCTGTTTTTAGTGAAAATGTGAGTTGCTTATAAACTGACATAGGTGGTTAATGTTACATTGTTCAGTTTATTTACAAAAACCTGCAGTACTGTGTCAAATTTGTTGTCTTTCACAATTTTGGTTGAAAACACAATTAACTTGCAAACAGTCAGTTTTTTAATTTAATATATAGCTGTTGTACATGTACTTTAATTGAATCTGAAATGACTGAAAGAAAAATGTTTAAGAAACTTTAGATATACACATGTACCTTTGATTTTTTATTCTTTTGGCCTAAAGCACATTGGTTTGTCATTATTGCATTTTTCTGTTAATAAAATTATACCAAGGATAAAAAATATTCATTTTGTGGTTGACAAAATTAGTATCATTAGTATCGTATTAATTATTAATACGATACTAATTGAAAAAACAACTGAATTTTGGTTTGGTTTGAGGACTCATTGGGTTTTGAACTGGGACTCACTGATTCTGGACTGCATCAAACTCACTCTTTTATTACTTCAGGCCCCAAAGAGTGTAAAGGTGGAATATGCATTTAGAATTTACGGTAAGTTTCCAAGTGTTTATTATTATTTGGCACAGAGAGGATGTTGAATGGCCACTGATCATGATGATAGTCATAACTGCATTTATGTTACTGAAGGTGGATGTGTTACTTGATGGCAGGGAGGAACCCAATCCCTTGTTTTGTTGAATATTCACCATGACCAGAATATTGGCACTGATTATTTTTGCTGGAAAATGCCCACAATACCTGTTGCTCTGTCTAAAGAATGACTGGGTGAGACTGAGTAGAATCTGAAGAAAGAATTAACAGTAATAATTTATTTTTGTTTTTCCACACAACATGGGCGTACACCTCTGCCTTCAAGTTCTGAATGATGTTATTTTTGAACTTGTAACAACTCTCTTTGGCAGCTTATTTGAGATGATTGGGAGCCCCCTTTCACAAGGAGGCTGGGTACAACCCTATGATGAGAATGATATTGGTAGGGGTTTTTTTGCACTTTGTTGGGCAGTTTATCAAGGAGAGAGGGTCAATGCTTTTAATGTAACGTACACTATCTGTTTCTGATAGATGATAATTATGTAGTCATCAACAGCATCGCTCACCAAAAATTTTGGTTCCATAGATTTCAATGAGGATGACTATATCTGTGAAAATGATTTAAAACGAGTAATTGTAAGATTGTGTGGAGAGCAAAGACTTTCAGAGGACAATGTGAATGCTTTGATTCAAAAGGTAACCGTATACAGGATTACCCATTTTTGTTTTATCAAGTTTGTTTTTGAAGCTTATAAATGCATACAATGTAGATTGTTCACAGTCCCCTATTTTCCGTAAGATCATTGCAATTGAATACTTTGCATTACTGGCAGCCATCTTGGATGAGTGTCAAATCTACTTAGGGGCTTGGGGACAGTTTGGGAGGAAGCCTTCCTCTCCCCACCACTTTAGACCCTAATGCCTGCCCCCTTGGTACACACCAAGATGGCTGTCGTACCAGTAAGCGCTCTATCCTGGACTTCTGACGATCTTATGAAAAAGTAGCAGGGGGGGATCTAGGGGAAGAGTGCAGGGGGTGTGCACCCCCCCCCCCCCCCGGAAGTGCCCTTGGGTTTTTAAAAAAATCAAGTTTTGTAAAAAAAAAAAAAAATGGTGATTTTGTTTGTAAAAAAAGAAAAAAAAAAAGGGACAACCCCCATAAAAAAAACAGGAGGGGATTCCTTTGGGGTGGTTTTTCAATAATAAATTATTTAAGCATAAAGTCCAAATTACTTAGGGGGGTTGGGGCAGTTTGGGAGGGAGCCCTCCCCCCCCCCCCACCTTAGACCCCAATGCCCGCCCCCTTGGTACACCCCAAGATGGCTGTCGTACCAAGAAGCGCTCTTTCCTGGGCTTTTGGAGATCTTTTGAAAAAGGAGGAGGGGGGGGTTTAGGGGGAGGGTGCGGGGGGGGTGCCCCCCCCCCCCCCCCTGAGATGACCTGTGGTTTTCTAATACAACTAGTGTTCTGAAAAAAAAAACTATGTGGTTTATTGGTGTTGAAGTAGAGCAAGAGATGAGTGCACCCCCTCCTAAAAAAGATCCTGGATCAGCTCCTGAGTAGGGATTACTTCAATAATATTTAGCTGAAGTGAAATAAAGTGTAGTGATAAAATGGAACTTTATCAATTGGATGCTCACAGCTTACTTGTATTGGTATATTTTATTTCCCATTTCTAATTTCATTCATATAATAGTACAGTAGCTGTGTTCTGCAATCCAATAATTTAATGATCAGGGTCGTGGTTGCTGCCCTAATGTCTCCCTCTGTTGAGGCCTGTGCCTTTCAATCCCAGAGGTGACACAATGCGCGGGTTGAATGTGCTGATATTGTTGCTCCGAGAAGGTTTTTCCCTGGGTAATCTGGTTTTTCATCCTCCTAAAAACAATTTTGTCCAATTCTAATGAAATCCAGAATGGTAGACAAAGAACCAATTTGTGGATTTGCCATTTCTAGAAGTTGTCTTACATCACATTACCGTATTTACCCGTGTTTAATGCTCACTGTTTTTCCATGAAATCGACCTTCAAATGTACAATTCTTATTATACGCGGATTCCATTGTTTGGTCAAGAAAACAAAAGAAGACGAAAGCTTTGCAGTAACTGGTGTTTAATAAACTCAGTAAAAATAGTGCATGATTTTATTGTTCAAAGGAAAACTGTGAATCTAGCATATTTTATAAAGCGCTATATTATCGTGGCTTCATGGGCAGGTTGGCATTTGTTTCAAAGACTGGTATTCCAGGGACTGGCTCAAGTTCCAGTTCTATGTTCTTGGGCTTCTTTCCTTCAATACTATTGTGATATCCATAGAGGAAATAAACAAACATTCCTGCAAGGAAACAAAGGAAAAATTGGAAACACAGTGAGAAAGACTATAGTTGAATATTGCTTCTAAAGTTAATGATAAAAACATGAAAGTTATTTCCAGCTGTCGAGTCTAATGACAAAACCCCGCAACAAAGTGACCTTCGAGTAAAAATTCTCTTCTTCAGTTAGTATTGAGTTACTTCGTTTTAAACTTCGTTTTTAATATTTTACGACGTAAAATGTTGGGGTTTCCCGTACTCTTTGGCCTGGCCACTTTTTGTGTTGTATGATAGGAGCTGAACCTAATGGCTTTTTATTCCAAACCTTTACATGTTTTTTGTCAATTTTCCTAGTCCTACACCAATCTTCCACCTCCTGGATTGCCATCTCTCCTCTCCGCTGCAATATTCGTTCATCTCAGTGTGAGGTTTCTGGAACCTCTTTTTAATAAATTGTTCTTCTAAAATGAAAACTGTTCATACGTATTTTGAAATGTGACTGAAATGATTTATGCATGCAAAGTGCAGATCTTTGCTGCAACTTGTTTCTCAATTGTTTTTTCCGCCTGACTGGGTCAATTGTAAAATATCTTTCATTTATTTTCGTCAAACAGTGTTTTTAAAAAATTAGCATTAGAGCTGATTGTTTTGATTGATAAGAGTAACCTTTACGCTATTTATATGACTTCGACAGGCTAAATTGACGCTTGTGGTTTATAAAAGCATTCAAATTGTTTTCTTTCCATTGTAAACACTATTCTTGACCTGGTGGCGTCTCAAGGTCTCCATTTTAATGCATCATTGATTTGTTCTGGAAGCGTATTGTTACGCGTCTGTGAAGTTTGTATTTATCTTTTTCTTTTCCTTGCCTTGTGTTTATGTCAAAATTTCTGGGTGTGACTGGAAATTTGGGCGGCCGGCCGGCAAGCATCAAAGAAATGTTTTGCCAAGGATTTATACTAAATTGCTGCACTCAAACTTTGGAAAAACCTGCCAGTAAATATTAAAACAACGATTTCCTTAGATTCTTTTAAAAGCCATCTCTTTCAGGACACATTCTTATAGCATATTTCTATAGCATTATAGCATTTCGAATTTTTTTTGGTCTATTGATTGTAATCTTAGGCCATGATAGATTTTTATTTCTGTAAACGCATTGAGGCAATGCATAATGCGTTCCAAAAACTGTAATTATTTATCATTATTATTTTTAGCTAATAACCTAGTACCAGCTGTCGAGGCTTGCATTGAGTTAAATATGCACTTTAGCAGAGAAAGAAGAAATAAGAATGATCAAAGGGAATAAATCATTTGTTGCATAGTAGATTGATGTATCATGTATAGTTTAGATATCTTACCAACTGTTACCCAAAGAGCGAACCGCACGTAAGTGAATGGGCGAAGAAGTGTTAAGAGTAGCATATTTATGAATATGCTGATGGCAGGAAGAAGCGGTACCCAAGGAACCATGAACGGAAAAGACGCGCCATTTTGCGGCTGCAGCCCTAAAACAACCAGACATGCTACGGTAACAATGGCGTACAGTGACACTGCAAACAATGTCATGGTGTTCATATTGTCGCTGCTGATCATCCAGGTTTTCAGCGAAACGCAAAGAGCGAACATGGACAGCAGCATGATCGTGACCGTGACGTTCGCAATAGTGCTGGTGTATTCAGTGGGATGAGCGTGACATGTTGTCGTCACGCTATCATTTTCGCGGGAAAGTTTCTCATAGCTATGACCTGCTCCTTTCGTAGGCTTTGAAAAGAATTTTCTGAGCCATGATTGCGTTCGTTGTTTGCTTTGTTCTTCATTAAGTACAGAGTCTAAGGAGGGTCGATAGCGTGTGAGTATCACTGATATTGACACCATGGTATAAGTTGTAATGGTCGTGATGGATACCATTTCCACCAGTTGGCTCATGTCGAACAGGAACGCCAAGATTGCGCTCAACGCTCCGCTAACCACCACGGCACGTAACGGCGTCCTCTTTTCCTTGTCGATCGTGGTGAAACAGCTGAATAGAAGACCATCATAGGCCAAGGCGTAAATAAGACGAGGAGCTGCAAAGCAAGCAGCCAATAAACTGCTCAGCATTGAACACAGGGCCCCAACTGACACGATGTACTTTGAAGCTTTAAAACCCCGCACTGCGAAAGCCTCAGCAATGGGTGCGAGGTCTTTGAGTTCGTAATATGGAACCATCATTGTCAATACTACTATTACACCTATATAGGCCAGCAAGCTTATTCCTAATGATAGTAGAATCGCTAGTGAGACTGATACTGTTGGGTTAATGGCCTCTTCGCTAGCACTGGGTATAGTATCGAATCCTGTAAAGCAATAGAAGCATTTTGAAGCAGCTGTAAGTATGCCTGTCCATCCGTAGGGTGCAAACTTCTCTAAACTCGACCAGTTACTCGCATCAGAGTAGTATGCACCGGCGAAAATGATAAACAAGACTACTAGTAGATTGCACAAAACGGTAATATCCACTGCTAGCTTGGTCTCTTTCACGCCAAGGCAAACTATGATGGTTACAACGAAAACCAAACCGAAGGCCAGCAGATCGGGATAATGTGCTAAGACTGGTTCATTCCAGACGCCGAATTCTTCCTTAAAGAAGTTGTAGACCGAACCATTGAATAAAAAGTTGATGTACTGGCTGCACGCAGATGCTAGAGATGCAGCGGACAAAACAAACTCCGTGATCATGCACCAGCCCGTTATAAACGCCCAGATTTCACCAATGGCTACATAAGTGTAGATGTAGCCTGATCCAGCTCGGTTCACCCTCGATGCGAACTCAGCATAACAAAGACCAGCCAGTAGAGATGCTACAGCGGCTATGACAAACGACAGAACGATCGCTGGACCTGCCACGGAATGCGCAACTTGGCCTATGACAACATACAGCCCTGCGTCTACCAAAGAACCGATTCCTAGCGCTGTCAGGTCGAATAGAGTCATACATCTCTTCAAAGGAGTGTCTGATGGAACAAAGTCGTCCGTCTTCTGCCTTGTAAGACTTACTACCAATTTACTGCCCAACATTTCCGTTTCTGTTGTGTGCAAGGTGTGTTAAACCGGCATCAGAGTCTTCTGCTCTGCGACATCAGTGGATGTTCACATTGCTCAAGCACAAACAATCCGCTCCTAGTTATTTAAGAAAGTTTTAATTACCGGTGATTTAAATATTCAACTTTTTATGTTCATTAATCCATAAACAGTCGGCATTAGACCGTGAAATGGTAACAAAGTTTAGATGATATATACTGCCTGTTTTTACACCGAAGGACAGTGGTCGCTCGCATGTTTGATATATTCTGTCTTTCTTTTTTTAGAGGCTTTGAAAGTTACTTTGTAAACTGCTCTTTTTTTCGCCTTAAAGCTGTGCTCCGTCAAGTAGAAAAACTGTTGGCGTCCTATCCGGACAATAGGAAGTTTCTGGTTTTTAAAAGTGTTTTTAAATGACTCATTGTGTGATTCTTATGCAGCATGATGTAAGAGGTTCAGTTTAGTGGCAACTGTTTTTTCAGTGGACCAATGTTATGTGGAGTATGATTTTCTCTTGTTTTGGTCCGTTTCTTGCCATCTACGGTTTTCGATTATTTTAAACAAATTTTTCCACTCAATTTTCCTGTTCAAGTTTTTGTTACTGCAACGGCCCATGAAGCGTGACAGAGAACTCGAGGGGCGTACACAGCATGCTACAATAGCATCGCACAAAGGTCTGTTTTCGCGTCCTCTATTTTTTGTCTCTTGATAAAAGCAATATATTCTTTTTTCATTGATGCATGGAGTGGTATTTTAATGAGCGTACCTAAAAACAAAAAAAAATAAAATATAGTCATGTTTTATGTTTGTGTACAGCTCAATGCCTGGGATACCTCACGAACGCTTTACATCCAAATGCTATCAAGCAGAATTTTACGCGCCAATGTGTAAAAGAAAGGAAGACAGAATTTTGAAGCAATTTAAAAGGAATATTTTATTTCTATAAGGTTTAATAGTAAATGAGTTATGTCATGAGTAAATTAAAGAAAGTTGAGAGCTTGCCAAGAAAGTACTAAAAAAAAGATACTTGCGTAAAACTTGTTCACTTGCTCTTAAGTCTAGTGTACTCACTGGGTGAAAGCAGTGAAGTTTTGAATATGTTTCTCACCAAGTTCGTTTTGATTGAAAGTAATACCGTAAAACTATCAACTAACGGAACAAAATTGACTGGTCTGTGAGCGGCAAAGATCCCACTAGCATTGCTTCCTGCAGTTGTGAATTTAAAATATGAGGTTTGCGTCTGAGTAGTCACCGGAACGTTCGAGAAACCGACGCTTATCTACCGTTCAAATTATTTAGCTAAAAAAGGATTGTTGCTGACCAGCATCAAGATTTTGTGTCGTTGAGGAGGTAGAACACAAGTCATATATTTGGTATGATCATCTGAGTTTTGTGTTGAAAAGTGTTCAAGCTCTACTGCTTTTCCTCCGTAGATTCTTTTGACAAGGGACTAGGGCTTGCTAGAACGTCAGCTTGAAAAACCCTATTCGACCATCTTTGCTGAAATGTTGGCGAAAGTCAACTCTGAAGTTCCACAATTTTATTGAACTTGTATCACTGTTTTGGTGTTTATTTATTATATTGTATTGTAGTGTCTTTGTGGTTGTTTAGTCCATCTATAGAAAAACCTTGTATTTGTAACATGTCCTTAGTTACGCTAGTCTGCTACACAGCCGTTTTTAGTGTCGTCACGCAAAGCTCCTCCCCACAAACCTGGGGAGGAGCATTGCGTGACGACACTAAAAACGGCTGTGTAGCAGACTATAGTTACGCCCGCCTCGATTAGTTCAAAAACTATTTGCGGGTGCGTGGGAAAGTAATGTACGTAGTTATATATTTAATTTCTATGAATTTGTTGTTGTTGTTAATATCCATGCGCAAGGGATACGCACGTATGAAGAGAAATTTTCGTGAAAACATTGGACAGATTGGAGCGAAAATTTATGCACTGTTGCGTTTTATAGTATTAGGGACAAATATGATCAAGTTGCTCCTTTAGTAAAACTAAGGAGCTCGTGGCATTTTTTAACAGCAGCGAAAATGCCGCTGCAATTTTACAAATTTTCAAGATATTCTAATATTCTTAAGTTGGCAATTGCTTTTATGTCGGAACGTGCTGAAGCAACCCTATCACCAATGCCGCGACTATTTTAGTGGTTAACAAGGGCGGTGTGTAGTACAGATAACACCAAGCTGTGTAAGCAGTTTGAGTTTAAAAGAAACTGGAGCGGCACGTTCATCTTTCAATTCTTTTTCAGATTTAAATATAGAGTTTCACTGTTTCTTGATTTAATGTAAAACAAGGCAACATGACACTACTAGGGCCTTATTATTGACATACTATGTTATTGACTCATTTACATGAGAATCGTTTATATCCAGTTGAATAAATGCTTATTTCCAGTGCCCCTTCCATTTGTTTATTAAACCGGCCAGTACTGACTAATATAAAGGTCATAAAGCTAGTCCGCAGGGCGACCCGTTTGTCGCTGGAAAGTATGACTAGTCACAAGCACGAGAAGCATATGGTAGCACAAACACTTCAGCAGTCGCCATTCTTTCCCAAACAGTACGTTTTAGCTGTGAATTCAAAGTGGGACAATTCAGTGCCGCAATCAGCCTCATCCCATCGTTCAAAAGGTGCTGTATGCGGACGAGATCAGTCTCTTTGGTTACAAACTTATTTGGCGGATACACCCCTAACCCTAACCTACACCCCTTGATAATAACTGACACCGGTTGTGATGGGTAAAGCGCTGGCAGCATAATCCTTGGAAAATTCTTTTATCTGCCGCTTTAAAGACGTTTTGTTTTCTCTGTCTGTGGACAGACTATCCTGAAATACACTACCCTGCCATCCTAAAGGGTAGAGGCCGTGGAAGGGGTCAATATTCCTTGAGCTCTTTCTTTGGCCCGTGGCTCGTAAAAGGTAATCTTAGCCTTCGAGCAAGCTCTCCATTTTGGGGGATATCATGAAAAGCGAGAGGAGACGCCAAAGCGGTCGCGGCTCGCTTCGCTTACCCAAACAGAAGAGCTTGCTCGCAGGCTAAGTTAATCTTTGTTATGCGTGCTTTATCACCTAGCTGTGGTTTGTGTATTTTAAATGAATTTATGACAATTTGTGTTTCCGTTTTGTTAGATTTTTGACGAGGCTGATCTTGACGATGACAGCCAACTGTCGTTTGCCGAATTTGAACACGTTATATCGAAAGCTCCGGACTTTGTCAAGTAAGTTTTAGCTTTGAACTGAAAATAATGGTTTTCAATTGACAAGCAAGAAGTCATCACTCTGGCCACTACCCTGCGAGCAGAGGCCCTTCGATCTTCCTAGATAAGTCGGGAAGAGGAAGGGACCTTCCTCTTCTCGACTTATCTGGGAAGATCGAAGGGCCTCTGCTCGCAGGGTATCTGGCCACAGACAAATGCATACTTTGTCTGTGACAAAAACGTTCGACTAAGAGGCGCATTGTGCCCGAGAGGCTAGCTTTGGACTTAAATCTGGAGGCCCCGAATTTTAGCCTGCGAAAGCATCCGTTTCTCCTTCGCTTTTCGCCGCTGGGGACGTTTAGCGAAGGAGAAACGGATGCTTTCGCAGGCTACCCGAATTTAAGTCCCGCCCCGAACGTATGCGAACACTTAACAGGCTCTCTCTTGAAAGGGAGCCGGCTGAGAGGGCAAGCGCAAGAAGAACTCCCGGCGAGAAGTTCGAGCTCGCGCGGATTCGTTTTCTTGCTCTCCCTGCTCGGGTGGTTTTTGTGCTTCATGCACATGTATGATATTTAAAGTAAGGTGCATTTTACTCGAGATGCGCCTTAAAGAAGATACAAACCGTGCCATTTATACGAGCATATAACACGCGTCTTATTTAGCCTCCCTCCTTTTTCTGCTTCTCGCTGGGCTTGGCTTTCAAGCAAGTCTATGGTAATTGTTTCGTTGTTTCCTTATGGTGATATTACCGTAACGGAAGCGTTGTTTTTTTTATTTTTACAGTTCTTTCAGGATCCGTGTATGAAGTTTACCCGCCAATTCTACCTCGAATTTCAAACGTTTCATCCAGCTAATTCACATTTACCGACTTCAAACTGAAAACTCTAAAATTTCAGATTAGGGAGCTTTAGCAACCACCACCACGACGACGGCGGCAACGAGAACGCTAAAAAGAAAACACAACCAGCAACAATAAAACTGGCAAAAATAACAAACAACAACAGCATCAACGCTCTTTGGTATATTTCTTTTCGACCGACGTCCACTTCACGACTACAACTTGAAACGTCCTGATCTAAAGTGAAGTGAAGACTTGACTTAAAAGAGGGTAACACTTGACTTTAATAATGCGAAGTTTTATGGAAGACGTGAAGACTCGGTGACGAATTTTTCTGTCCCTCTGTTTTAAATTTGAAAGAGTCCTTAAGAGGATTTCAACTCCACGAAAATTCGCCTTCGCGTTACAAATCGACGTAGGTTAAACAAGAGCGATATATTGAGGGAACGCAAATTCTTATTTTTCAGTGATGTTTTCGCTGCCGTCGTTGTCGTGGTTGCTTAAGGTCTTAGCAGGATTATTCGGCCATATTTGTCAAACTGAGCAACTTCTAGTAACGTTTAAAAGAGCTCATAACGCATATTCCGTATAGTTTCTATGTATAGTAAGAGCCAAAGATTCAACACTACTACAGACGAAATACACTGTGCTGCAGTGACTTAAATTTATTATAGCCATTTTGTAGAGTTAAAGAACAGCGGATGTACTTTGCTCAGTGCGTTTTCTGATAAAATTGCCCAAATGTAAAAATGATATATTTTGGAACTTAGCACCTAACGGTATATTTACAGACATACTGATCTACACTGG